AGGCCTTCCTGAGGCCCAGGAGGCCAAAAAATGGAGCACAGAGGGGATGCTGTATGGGCCTCGCAGTGCTCCGTTTTATTCCTTCCTGGGCCTCAGGGAAGCCATCTGGGAGCAGAAGCCTTCTGGCCCAGGAGGACAAAAAATTATGGAGCATGGTCAGGGGTGGGATTCAAATTTTTTAACAACCAGTTCTATGGGCGTGGCTTGGTGGTCATGTGATTGGGAGGACATGGTTTGGTGGTCATGGTATTGGCTGGGTGTGGCCAGCTCAATATCACTCACATCGAGGCACGCATCTCCTCGCCTGGCCTCTCATGACTGTGGGGATGCTGCAACAGTCATAAGTGTGAAAAATGGTCATAAGTCACTTTTTTCAGTGCCATTGTAACTTTGAATGGTCACTCCACACAAGCAAGTACCAGCAAAGGAGGGGAAAAAAACTCCAGAGAAGTTCCTGAGACAGGAAGTCTAGTCCTGACAAGAACGTAATAAAGGTTAACGGAGAGGCAGTTTCTGTAAGCAACACCAGAATGTTTCCTTCCTGCCTTCCTTACAGGATTAGGCCAGTAATTTATTCTAACAACTGGTTCTCTGAACTGCTTAGAATGTTAACAACCGGTTCTAGCGAATAGGTGCGAATCAGTAGAATCCCACCCCTGAGAATGGGGGGAGGGGGGTTTGCTGCACACACACACAAAAAGCCACACCCACCCAGTAACATGGCCACGTCTACCAAGCCACTCTCACCTAGCCATGTCCACAGAACCGGTAGTAAAAATATATGGCAGACGAAAAGTACAGGCAGTCCTTGACTTACGACAATTGAGCCCCAAATTTCTGTTGGTGAGTTTTGCTCCATTTTACAACTTTCTTGACACCGCTGTGAAGTGAACCACTCCAGTGGTTGAGTTGGAAACACTTCTTAAGTGAATCTGGTTGACTTTGCTGGTCGGAAGGTTACAAAAAATTTTCACATGACCACCCCCACCCCCAAGACAATCGTCACAAATATGAGTCAGTTGCCAAGCACCTGAATTTTGATCCCATGAGCATAAAGATGCTACAACGGTTGTAAGTGTGAACAATGGTCATGTCACTTTTTTCAGACTTGTTGTAACTGTGAATGGTCACGTAAGTCAAGGACTACCTGTACTTAAAATGACAGGGCCTGGAGCATCTCTCTCTCCATCCTATGACACAAAGAACAGCAAACCATGTCCGAAAATCTTGCCCAAATTGTCGAGACTTTTCTAGGCAGGGGCCAGGAGTCAACACTGATTCAGTTGTTGCTGTTGCTCAGTTGCCAAGTTGTGTCTGACTTTTCATGACTCCATGGACCTAGCACGCCAGGCCTCCCTATCCTCCACTGCCTGCCCAAGCCCATGTATTCATTGCATCAGTGACATTATCTAACTCTCTCATCCTCTGCCTTCCATCTTTCCCAACGTCAGGGTCTTCTCCCAAGGAGTCCTCCATTCTCATTACGTCGTCAAAGTATCTTTTTTTTAATGTATACATTTTCCTTTAACATATATAAGTGTTTAGTAGTCAGTGTATTGTCTGGGTCCATTTACAAATATATAGTAATAGCAGTAGTAGCATCCTTTACTCGGTGGGATTCAACTTTTTTTTTTTACTACTGGTTCTATGGGCGTGGCTTGGTGGGCATGGCAGGGGAAGGATACTGCAAAATCCCCCTTCCCTCCCCACCCCACTAACCTGCTTTACAGCTCCGTTCTCCTGTGCAGGGCAACCAAAGAAGACCCAGCCAATCAGCTGGGACTTGGGAGGTGGAGAATAGATGGGGGCGGGGCCAGTCAGAGGTAGGATTTGCTGGCTGAATATCATCTCTGCCTTTCCTTAAAAATAGTGACGTTCTTCCGATTTCTAATTTCTGCCTTTGTTATCTAACGATTGGTAAAAGAAGTCCCAAGTTAAAAAGTATTTCATCTTGTCTACTTTGTCTTCTTTGCTATAGTCAAAGTACTTAAACTCCAGTGTCTATCCTCCAAAGGACAGTCAGGATTGAATTCCTTTAGGATCGGCTGATTGCTGTCCAAGGGACTCCAACACCACAATTTGAAAGCATCCATTCTTCGCCCCTCATTCTGTGCCCCAATAGGGCAGCCTCAAATAAGTAAATAAAATTTTAAAAATGGACAACACGTTTCATCCTCCGTTACCCATCTCAGAGTTGCATGCACTTGTTACGGCCTTGGGTTTGTTTGTTTTTAACAACACCGGTGAATACAAGCATGTAGAAAGCTACAACCTAATGGGCAGAAAATAGCTAAGTGCTTGTGAGGTTAATGGCCGTGTAATATTGGAGCTCGTTTGGAGTGCTAACATATTGGAGCTATTGATTTTTCTACGGAGGCTGAGAAGAAGAGGCCGAGTTCACATTTAGGGTGCTAGTAGAAGTCCCTCATTCCACCCACTCCTGGTTGCTATTTTTGGGTGCCTGAGATAAAGCCATGCAAAAGATGGCTTAAAAGATGGACAATCAAATCAAAGGAGAAAGTCAGCTACCTGGACAGGAAGATACACAAGTCGTTCAGGTTACCCTGTGAGGTACAGATACAGATTAACAGAGTTGGAAGGGACCTTGTAGGTCATCTACTCCAATCCCTTGCCCAAGCAGGAGACCCTACACCATTTCTGACAGATGGCAGTCCAGTCTCTTCTTGAAAGTCTCCAGTGATGAAGCTCCCACAACTTCCAAAGGCAACTTCTGTTCCATTGGTTGATTGCTCTTACTGTCAGAACATTTCTCCTTGTTTCCAGGTTGAATCTCTCCTTGTTCAGTTGTCTGGCCTTCAGGGGCTTTGGAAAATAGCTTGACCCCACTCCTTTGGGGCAGCCCCTCAAATACTGGAATACTTCTATCATTTCTCCCCTGGTGCTTCTTTTCATCAAACTAGATTACCCAATTCCTACAAATGTTCTTCATGTTTTATCCTCCAGCCCCCTAATCATCCTGGTTGCTCTTCTCTGCAATCTTTCTAGAGTCTCAACATCTTTTGCGACATCATTCAAGCCACCATACTCTCTAGCACAATTACATGCTTAAGTCACATAACTGCATGGACCGAGATAGAAAAATATATAGTTTGTTAAAACTATAGCTGGATCTAAATTTGTGACTCCATTTCCTACATTCAAAAATTAGTGGCCAAAGATCTCCTTCCATAAATCTGGGTTAGGAATTTGAGACTCTCTCATCCATTTCAAGATTTCACAATTTCAGCCTCTTGACCACCAATGGCAGCTTCCATCATCCCCAGCCAGTTGGGCCCATAGTTCCAGGTTTATCTTAGTTAAAGAGGTGCTGATTTGGGGAGCTCTGGGTTAGAGAAGGCTATCTTAGATTTTTGTAAACCGAGAATGATTTTCCACAACCCCCAGCAGGGACTTTGGATAGTTTGCAGAAAGTTTATGCTGTAATAAGTGTAATTTGTCCTCACTGATGGCTAAATGAGGCTTGGCGCTTCGTAAATGCTTAGTGACCTCTGCTGTCTAAGATCAGAGCTACACATTGTAAGATACGGGTTTAGGAGATCCTATCACGAGTCCAGCAAGCAGAAATTTACCGGCAGTCCCCGACTTACGATCACAATTGAGCCCCAAATTTTGGATTGCTAAGTGAGACATTTGCTAAGTGAGTTTTGCTAAGGTGACCAACATTTTTACAATGAGGAGGACACAAATAAATTGAAGAAAAAAAACACAGCCACTTGCGCATGGTGCACTCTTGCGCGTGGCACATTCTCTCCCAACAATTCTTCTGTGTGGAGCGCATGCATCTCATAATCACGTCTCGCCGCACTGTACCAAGCCTTGATGAATCGTCATGTCAAATACAAAAACGTCACATCACACACAACAGATCGGATCGGCATCGATCAAATATGGAGATTTACAGATTAGTCTTCAAATATCAAAAAGGAGGACATGTAGGAGGACACGTTTCGAGAGAGGACAGAACTTACAAAAGGACGACTGTCCTTCCTAAAGGAGGACGGTTGGTCACCTCAGTTTTGCCCCATTTTACAACCTTTCTTGCCAGAGTTGTTAAGTGAATTGCTAGTTTGTTAAGTTTAGTAACACGGTTGCTAAATGAATCTGGCTTCCGCATTCATTTTGCTTGTCAGAAGGTTGCAAAAGGCCCTCACCCCAAGACATTGCAACCGTCATAAATGTGAGTCACTTGCCAACATCTGAATTTTGATCGTGTGATCATGGGGATGCTGCAATGGTCGTAAGTTTGAGAAATGGTCATAAGTCGCTTTTTTCAGTGCCGTTGTAACTTCAAACAGTCACAAAATGAAATGTTCTGTAGTCAAGAACTACTTGTATTAGTGCAACTCACCACCTTGGGTGGGCTGCCATTTCCTTTTTTTTAATCTTTTCTTATCTTTTTACGCTTCTTCCAGCAAATATTACACCTGTTGCATGAAATCATGAAATCAACCAAGAAGCTGAGTGGACTGCCATTTGTCAGAAATGGTGTAGGGTCTCCTGCTTGTGTGTGGAGGTTGGACTAGATGACTTATAAGGTCCCTTCCAATTCTGATTATCTGTTATCTGGTTGCATTCCTACCGCACAATTCTGGCCAAGTCAACATAACCGAACTATGGTTTGTGTGTTTATTATGATTTATGATGTCGGCCACCCCTGCCTGCCTTCATTAAACCACACTAAGCCTCCCATTTTTCTCCAAATTTAAAGACGTGTGAATTTCCATTCCACAATTCCCCGGGCCTGCATGTACTGGAGCAGGGCCGGAAACTACAACTCCCGAAAGCCTCTGCCAAGTAAGGCCGCCATCTTGCCTCCAGGCGTGCCATTTGCTCTCCGGGGAGCGGAAGCGGTCCGGCGCGATGACGTCACCGACGCCCTCCGTCTCCCATCTTCCTGCTCCTTTTCTCTCGCGTCGTCTCTGCCGCTCCTCCCTCTCCCCCCCCCAAACTTCCCGCCGTGCTTTGCGACGGCAGGCGACGCCAGGAGGCCGTTAAGAGGCCGCTCGCGCCCGGGGCCGCTCGCGACGGGCCTCCCTCCCTCTCTATCTCTCTGTCTCTCTCTCTCTCTCTCCCCCCCCCCCCCGTTTCCAAGGAGACGCGAGGCCCTCCGCCGCCATGTCGGCCCAGGCCCAGATGCGAGCGCTGCTCGACCAGCTGATGGGCACGGCCCGGGACGGTGAGTTGTGGCGGGCGAGACGGGGGCCTGCAGGAAGGAAGGAAGGAAGGAGAGCAAAGAAGGAAGGCCGCGCCCTCCGGGCCCGGCGTGGACGCTTTCGAGGCCTGGACGAGGCGACCCGCCGCCGCCTCCCCTCCTTTTCGTCGCCCTTCGCTTCGCATTCGCCCCTCATAAACGTCACCTTCCCCCCCCCCCGGTCCCCGTCCGCCTTTGCTGGGCTTCCCTGCTTGGCCCGACGGGGTGTTTCCGCCCCTTGACAGGGACGCCATTGCTTCTATATGCGGCCCCCCACCCATATATCTATACCCCCCCACACCCCAAATAACGCTGTTGATTTTGGGCTTCCACTGAGGGTGACTCCCCCGAACGCCTTAGGGGCTGGGGGAAGGCTGTGTGGAGGAGGATCAGCGCCCAGGAACTTCCCTTTAAAAAAAAAATTAGAAAAGATATTTATTTTTATTTATTTTAATTTTGGGGGTCGGGGGGGGGGGGGAGCTTTGTAATTTCACAGATTACCTGGCTGGAGCCCTTGGGTTGGTTTCTGCCTGAGGGAAGGGGAAAAAAAAAACCCGCTCAGCCTAAAATGCCAACCTTGGGGGTTTGATGTAAGTCGAAGAAATAAACAACAAATCCAAGCGATCTAAACGGAAGATTTAAACAAATTAGGGGGGGGGGGGGGGAAAAGCCACCCAGTGTCACCCTTATAGGAAAGATGGGTGGTATTAAAAAAAAAAAAACGTAACCAGTCCACCCATCCATCCATCTATAAAAGCTCCTGGTTGCTGCAGGGGAATTTGAATTTGTCCCTTGAAAAGAGGAGGGTCCCCTTCTGCTTGATTTGGGGGGCATTAATTAGGCTGGCTAAGCAGAGCTTCCCAATCCAGAGGCAGTGTAGACAGTTAGTCCTCGACTTACGGCCAACAATTGTGCACAATGTTTCTGTTGCTAAGCAAGACAGTTAAATAAATAAGAATAACCTTTCTTGCCACTGTCATTAAATGAATCGCTGAAGTTAAGTTAGCAACACAAGGCTGTTCAGTGAATCTTTCAATTTCGTTGTAGACCTGTGCATTGACGATGCACCTTTTGATTTGACTTGAATCTGGCTTTCTCCATTGACTTTGCTCGTCTGAAGGTCGCAAAGGGGGATGCCGTGACCCAGGGGACATGGCAACCGTCATAAATAGGAACCAGTTGCCAAGCGTCCGAGTTTTTGATCACGGGACCGTGGGGATGCTGCTAACAGTCGTAAGTGTGAGAAATGTGCCATTGTGACTTTGAACAGTCACTAAACAAATTGGATGTAAGTCGAGGACTGCCTGTACTTCAGAACAGTGAAATGTTGGAGGAGCAGGAAAGCTGCTGTTTCGATGCTCTTCTGATATGTGCTTTCCAACAGGCATTGTGGTAACAACAAAATGCCCAGAAATGGACTTTAGCCTTTGGCAAAAGTTCTTGTTTGGGTTACGCAGGCCATCTTTAGCAAAAGGAAACTAAATATGAGAGCAAAACAAAGCCAGCTTTTGAATGGCAAACCAGTCAGGCCGGTTTGGTAGAGCAGCAGCCTGGCCAGCGTTGGTGGCCTTGGTCCTAGTAACGTGGGTGGCAAAATGGTTTTCAGCTCAGCTCCTGGTGACAGGTGCTCAAGCAGGATAGACAAGTCCCCGGCACCTGCGTCATCCCCATCTTCTTGCTACCCGAGTCCAGCTACCTGCTCAAGCAGGTGGGGTTCTTGATGTAACACCTGATGCCTGGAAACATCTGCTCAGTGATATAAAACATTGGTACAGATGGTATGAAGGGGACAATCAGGCTTTGGAAATAACATGGGGTTTGGTGTATGCTGTGCATTTATAGGGCTTTCTGGAAAGCATTGGCAGGGAATACATATACGAACACCGATTTTTTATAACTTGGACAGTTGACGCTGCCTATAAGACATAAGGCTTTACACCCCAGATACGTCGGCTAGAACTCTGCATCATGAGTTGAAAGCCCGACTTTTCTGGTTTTACGTGGTGAGGCTTTTCTTTTGTAGACTCGCCTGTAGACGTAAGGCTTCATGTGTAAAAAAAACAAACATGAAGGTAGGCCTGTTCTGCATGGAAACAGGGCCTTAGTATGTGCCCCAGAAATATATACATATATATATATATATATTTCCCTTGAAAAGCTGTGCATTCCTGACAAAGTTGGTATCTGCTTCCCTACTGGAAATCAGCCACTGAAAGTCTGGCACCTTTGCAAAACCCTACAGATAACTTTTTGCACTTGGTTTCGTAAATGAATAAAGTGCTCGTTCTTTCTGTGTAATTTGAGTTGTTTTTTTTAATTGCTTCCCATATTTTTATTTCATACAAACTGAACAATTGTGGCCCCTCTATTTTATTTATAAAGGTTCAGTGTATCTTTGCCTGCCTACATCAATCTGCAAGGGAGTTGCAGAAAAGCCTCATGTTCATCGAGCCGTGAGTCACAACCAATTTTTAAAGCTGTTATAACAAAAAAAAGTGTTTGCTGATTTTTTTCACAAGTAACTTTAAAAGTATAGTTTAGAAAAGAAGGAAAGAGAGAGAGAAAAAAAAACATTTTTAGTAGACACAACCGGATGCTTGCAAATCCTGATCTATAGTCATACACAGACTAGCTTTTTAAAGAACAGTTGTCACATACCATTACCACTTTGCCTTTACTTTTTATGTATCATTCCCCTGACTTCCTTACTGCAGGTTTGGGCAAGAAAACTTTTCCTTTAAAACTTTTCAACAGCGGGCATAAAATTCTGCAGCTGAGGTCTTGAAGAATGCAGATGGGTATTGTATGTGTTGGAGCTCGCAGTGTGTATCAACTAATATTTTTTTTTTTTTTGCTTGTTTTAAATGGCTCTCAAGTGAGGGTGGGAAAAGGGAGGCATAAGACAATTATCACTTTTTAGAGGAAAGTCTGGTAGCCTTTAGACATTCAATGTGTTTTAATACGTATGAATCATCAGTACTTAATAAAAAGACACTTGATTCATAAATGGCTACCTAGTAAAATTTCTGGGTGTGATTCACGGCCTTCAGCTAGAACGGGTTTTGGTTTTCCGAGCCTTTGTTTTCTCCGTAGAAAAGATCTTCCGTGGTCTGGACCCAGATTGTGTGTGGGTTTTTTATGTAAATATCGTGACTTGTGGATGTAATTATGGTCAGCACCATATTAAGTGGTGCACATGATATGAAATGCTGTGCATAGTTTGATTCTCAGCTGTGAAAGTAAGACCAAAAAAAAAAAAATCTATAACTTTTTAACGCTTTTATTAATTTTCCGATCCGTTCTGGGGTTCGTGAATGATTTTTATCTGCATTAATGAGGTGAAATAAAACGTACTGCCATTTGCCCTGCTTCGTCGACATGTAACAATATTTCATATTTATAATGGAAAATGAATTTCAGGAGATGAAACCAGACAAAGGGTGAAGTTTACAGACGAACGGGTCTGCAAGAGCCATCTTCTGGACTGTTGTCCTCATGATATTTTAGCAGGGACGGTAAGTCCTCTTTCTCATGGCCCCCACCTTGGTCACTCTTTTATGTCAGCGTTCCTCAGCCTGCTCCCTTCACCACATTGAGTTGCCGCTCCCCAGATTTCCCAGTAGTTGTGGCTAGTGGCCACGATGGATAGAGGCACGGAGAGTCCTCGGCTCACGACCACAATTGAGCCCGGAATTTCTGTTGCTAAGCGAGACGGTTAAGTGAGTTTGTTCCCATTTTATGACTTTTCTTGCCACGGTTAAGTGAAAATGGTTTCCCCATTGAGTTTGCTTTTCAGAAGGATTGCAAAAAGGGATGACATGACCCCGGGACATTGGAGATGTCATAAAATAGGAACCAGTTGCCAAGTGTCCGAATTTTGATCACATGACCGTGCAAATGCTGCAACAGTCATAAGTGTGGAAAATGGTCATGTCACTTTTTTTCAGTGCTTGTAACCTTGAATGGTCACTAAACAAACAGAAAAAAAGTATAGATGTCGCATTGCAAGCTCTGATGCCTGAGAAATATGAACTTTTAAACATTTTCAACTTAAACTTGCATACTTTGAAGTACTAACTTTAAAGCGTTTAAGTTATTTGTTACAAAGGTAATGGAATGTGATATGACAATATTAAAACATTTTTAAAAGGCAATAAAAGTATAATGAGGCCATCACAATTTGAGGAAATGTAAAAAAAAATAATTTGTTGCTGCTGCTGATAGAGGAAGAAGTGGCCTTTTAGGAAGCAGGAGGAGCTCAAATCCTACCATATCAAGTGAGCCGCAACCCACAAGAGATATGCAGCTCTTTGTAATATGATGCTGTCTGTTTGGGTCACATGGAGCTTTGGGATCATTTTCAAAAGTGGTTTTGTGCATGTGTGTTCCAGTATTCTAATTAAATGATCTAAAGTGAGAAATATACATCGCAGAGGAACTCTATAAAATTGTGTTCTATAATCCTGTGTTTTAGTTGAAATTACAGTTCCCTAGTTTTGTACTTTTCATCAGTATTGAGACTTCTCAGTATGGCTATTTTGTAGCAAAATACCTATTCTGTACTCTTCTGTACGCTTTGGACTATGAAACAAATTGAGCAGCTGGTTATAATTGATTCATTTGCTAATCACTAGTGGTTGCATCTTTTGAATGTGGTGATACACTGGATTTTCAGATGATATTGTCTCCTTTTTTTTTCTTTTCTTCTTCAATAGCGTATGGACCTTGGAGAGTGTACAAAGATTCATGATTTGGCCCTGAGAGCAGATTACGAGATTGCCAGTAAAGAGAGGGACCTGTTCTTTGAGCTGGATGTAAGTGCTTTCCATTCTGATAATAGTAAACAGACACAAGAACAGGCAGCCCTTTGATATCTCTGTTATGTACTATTATTGCAGTAGGCTGTGGCTGTTAGATTATTACTTGTTACTTTATTGTAATGAGACGAATAAAAAAGGCAGTCATTTACGACTAAATTATGCTAGGAAGCTTCAAGGGCTTTTCTGCAGAGTAAAGATAGTGCAAATTATTCTGTGCTTGTTGCAGGCTCATCCTTTTCAGTCTGACACAGCTCTAACAGGTTACCTTCTAGCATATGTCAGGATGGGTATTGAGAAGTAGAAGTATTTTTGTTCTGTGTGAATCGGCTATAGATTGACCCCTTCTTCCCAGAAGAGTGGAGACTGTTAATTCAGTAGTTCATCCTGCTCAGCTGAGCCTCTTCAAATTCCAAATACTGTACTATGATTTAAAAACTTGGTTATCTGTGTCAACTTTGGAGAGAGTCTGAATCCTTCATGCTTTAAAAGCTAAAATTTTACCTAAGTGTATTCACCTTTCTGTTGTCGCTGTATTCTATTAATCTGGAAGTCTCCAAACATGGCAACTTTAAGACTTGTGGACTTCAACTCCCAGAATTCTCCAGCCAGCATAGCTACTGGTTGGAGAATTCTGGGAGTTGAAGTCCACAAGTCTTAAAGTTGCCAAGTTTGGGGACCCCTGTATTAATCATAGCCAAAATTATAAAGTTGTAATAATGGTGCTGCAACGTTGTTCTTCCTGTTTCTTGTTTCCTGTTCTTCAGAAGAAAATCTCTTGTTTTCCATTTCTTTAATTACCTCTTTTTGAAGTGGCTTGTTGAAGTGGCAACAAGAAGTAAAGAGAAATAAGGCTCTGCATTTTCAAATGGGCCTTTCATGCTGCCTTCATCCCTTGATTTTTATCACTGAAATAAGGGTGTGTCAAGAATGGCTTTCTAACATTAGCACTGTCTGTTTCTGTACAATCAGGCGATGGACCACTTGGAGTCTTTCATTGCTGAGTGTGATCGAAGAACAGAACTGGCTAAAAAACGACTTGCAGAGACCCAGGAGGAAATCAGCGCTGAAGTGGCTGCCAAGGTATTTCTGTGGTGCGGTTGTGCTCTTGGTGAAATGGCGAGACTCTTGAAATTCACAGTCTTGTAACTGGCTGTTGTGTAAGCCTTCTTCTGGTGGTTATCTATGCAAACCCCATTTAGGTGGTCTTAGGGTGATTGTTTCAGTTGGCAATCTAGGCTTAACATCTATATGAAAACCTCTGAGATAACTAAGAGCTGGAAATATCACAGATGTTGTAAGCCCCTTTGAAATTCCTTTAGAAATATAGAAACTAGATTTAAAGGTCAATTAAAGAGCGTAGCTGCATGTTCAGTATTTACATTGGGGATAACATTAGTTTATCCAAGAGATTGTGTGGAGAATTGCTCTTATCTGTTCTATTCATGCTTCACGTGCTAAATAAAGAAAGCAAGCTTTTACATTATATAATAATGGCTTCACTTACTAGTTTTACTTTTGTCTCATGGCTTTCTGCCAATTCATTACAAAACTAAAGATGCATTGGTTGAACCAGAAGACTAAAAATGAACGTAGTTTCTCTTAAACCTGCCAGAACTTCAAAAAATAAAACTACTTCTGCGTGAGATGCTTGATTTGCCTTGAGTCCTTCAAAGTTGCAGTCGGATCAAGCTCTTTAATGTGACAGAAGAGGAAAATTATTATTAACCCCAATAGGGTGTGATGCTATGAATCACATTTAAGATAAATTAGTTGGATTTTTGTTCAACTTAAACTAAAAAATGGTTTGATTTGATTGTATGTCCTTGATCTACCTATTATTTTGATATGGATCCCCTGGCACGGCATTCCAGGTTTGGGAATGGCACTGAGTCCTAAACTGACGATATATTCCTCCTTGGATAATTAAAAAAAAATCCATTTGCTTGATAAGTTATTGTCCCAAAGGTGCTTTTTCAGGAGGCAACTGGACTTCCTTGTTTTTTCTTTTGAAGACGTTTCGCTTCTCATCCAAGAAGCTTCTTCAGCTCTGACTGGATGGTGCGGAATGGAAGGATTTATATTCCTTGCAGACAGCTGGTCATTTGCATCCTTTTTAGAGAGTCGTTGAGAGTCGGTTTATCTGTGTCCTCAGGGTCACCTGAGTGGTTCTCCTGGTTCCTGTAGTCTGCAGTTTTTCCTTTGGAAATCCATTCCTTGATTAGTTATTGCTTTTTATTGCTTTATATTGATTTTTTAATCTATGTAAGCTACCTGGAATCACTGAGGGTGAGTCACATCACATTGTCTTCAATCAGATAAATGACCCCAAACCCATCTCTGTTCTTTAGGCAGAGAAAGTACACGAACTCAATGAAGACATTGGGAAGCTTCTGGCTAAAGCTGAGCAGTTAGGAGCTGAAGGGAATGTGGATGAATCCCAGAAGATCCTGATGGAAGTGGACAAAGTCCGTGCAAAGAAGAAAGAAGCGGAGGTTTGTTCTTTCTGAACTGAATATGCAGATTTACTGCTTTGTTTATCCCGAGGAAGTCTACTAGCCAAGCAAAACAGGTTTATTATCTCAGTTGAAAAATGGAGAAGGAAATTGTAACATTTATCTTCTCTTTGACTAACACAGCTTCCTAGATTAGAGTAGTGTCGCTAGTATTTGTGATGTGCTGCAAGGTAACGATGAGTCATTGGCTAAGGTGGGGCTAAGAAAGACAGAAAAGTGAGCAATGGGCGTTTTAATTTTAACCTCTTTCTGATCTTCGATAGGAGGAATACCGCAATTCTATGCCTGCATCCAGTTTCCAGCAACAGAAGCTGCGTGTTTGTGAGGTCTGTTCCGCATACCTCGGTCTCCATGACAACGACCGTCGCCTTGCTGATCACTTTGGGGGCAAATTGCATTTGGGCTTCATTCAGATCCGTGAGAAATTGGACCAGTTGCGGGTAAGGGCTCTGGTTACTCAGGGGTAAAGTACTCTTGTAGGAAAAGAGCCTTAAAATAGCTGGAGAGTTTGACATTTGGGTAGCCACCATGTTGGTAAATCAGTGTTTGAGCTTTCTCTTGTTCTTTAAAACCTACAATGGGTGACTAGCCCATGTCAGACAATCTTCTAGAATAGGGAGAGTTTTATGTACACACGATTAAGTTCACAGGTGTGTACCTTGATTTTACTCTGCTAAGTAAAATTCTTAATACTGTAATGTATGTGTGAAATGACCTCATTGATGTGAGATGTTTTATTTAGTTCCATGGTTGTCATCAAGTAAACAGCCCTGTGTGAGTCAGACCTGTTAATTAGAATTAACTAATTTGACCCTCCTGTTTAATTGTTGCCTTTGTCTGTGGGATAAATCCGTAGGTTGAAGCCAGAAACTTGATATTATCAACAGGGAAGTCTATTATTCTTCTAAATAAACACTTCTAGTACTTCTCATTTTGAGGGGTGACTTAAGGTACTGTACAGTGGAGCCTCGGGTCGCGACCGTAATCAGTTTCCAGGCTCTGGTCACGACCCGATTTGGTCATGTCCAGAAGCACGACTGACTGCACATGTCCACAGTCAAAAAAGATGGCAGCGAAGGAGAAATTGGCACGGAAAGGAAATCTTTCTGTACCGATTTTGTTTGCCACCCGATTTTTGAATCCTGACCTGATTCAAAAATCGGGTGGATTTCTTATTTGCTACCTGATTTGGTTATGAACAGGAGCATTCGCGACCCAAAGTTCCACTGTATATAATACCGATACTTCATCAGCAAATAAACTTGTAAAATCTGAGTGTGGGTGATGTTTCTGTCACTGCTTTGCCTCCAGTTTCGTACTGTGCAAGCTGCATGTGAGAAGCATCGTGTTCTTTCTGGTAAAGAAATTAAAGACTGATCAGGGTAACATTAACGTTGGTATCAGAATGCTAGTCTGTAGAAGAAGAGGATGCTGATCATCTAGTATTCTGAGTTTTCTTGGTGCCTCAAAAACTAAGTTGCTGATAGGATCATTTTCTTCATGCTTGAGTGTTTGATATTTTGGCAAATTATTCCTACTCCCACTACTCTCTGCCTTGATACATTGCCTGTTTCAAATTAATCTCTGCAACTCTCTCCTAATTTTCTTATTGGTTGTTGGGTAAAGATGTTAGTCCTGAAACTGTTGATGAGAACATTATCTCATTTATTGAGGTTTGTGGACCCAATATATTAGAAATATATCAGGATATACTAACATTGCGATGTACTAAGATAATGATGTGTATTCAGAGAGTAATCTTAAATGGTTTTTACATACTAACTACTTGGTGCTATTTTTAAGAAGCCGGAAACTTTTTCTAACCTTTTGCTGCTGCTTTTAAGTTTAACGGGTCACTTATTATTTGGGGACAGAGGATGATGTCACCAGCTGTCTTTGAATGAGTCCTCCTTGCTCTCTGCGGGAATCCTTTTGATATACAGGCCGCTCACATTTGACAATGTTTCTTGTCTCACTCTAGAAAACCGTAGCTGAAAAACAGGAGAAGAGGAATCAGGACCGGTTGAGAAGGAGAGAAGAAAGAGAGCGAGAAGAACGTGTGGGACAACGGTGAGGAATTGCAGAGGAGAAGCACGTGGCTTCATGGCACAGTGGCATAAGAGGTCTTCTGCTCTGCCGAGAGCTTAAAGAAATAACACGGTAGAAACTGGCCTATGTTTGGTCCCCAGGCAGTGCAGACATTGGAGCCCTTGTGCCTTCCTTAAGTCATTAGAATTTGGAAATAGAAGGAAGAAGTGGAAGAGGAAGGAAGGAAGGAAAGAAAAGTTCAAATAGCTGCCCAAAGTAGAATAAGAGGGCTGCTTGACAGAAGATGAAAAGTGTTGATTAAACATCTCTTTCGCCACGATTTAGAATGTACTTTTATCATCCTTTGCCAAATTCATTCTCAACCTTTTCAGCGTGTTACCTTCTGGGGTCTTAAAAGTATATGACGCTTTTTAAAGCAAAGAATTCTGCTACATCAGAACACGCTCATAACTGTGCTTGCATATTGTCTCCAGCTTTTAAAAAAAACAATGCTGTTCCTTTTTTTCTAGATCTGGATCAAGAAATCGAGATCGCAGAAGGTAAGAGAGCTTGTATGTGTGAGAGAAGGGTACGTTTGTGTGTATATATATATACATTTGAGGGGATGGTCCTGCATTTCAGATGAGTCCTTGATAGCTTTTGGCAGCTGTCCACTTGCAGCTTTTCTCCAGACACAAAACAGAAATGTCCCCCCCAATTGTAAAATATCTGGAGGCATATCAGTAAGCAATTGGAATACTACTTTGCAAAGTTTTAGTTGTAACCTCAGTCTTTGGACATAATGACTCGTATGTACATTCCGATGATTTTCTTGTAGAAGTCTCTGTATAATTGTGGTACACAGGCATAAAGTCATCCAGAAGTACTGTAAGCCAGAGCTAAAAGGGCATGGGGGGAAAAAAAACTAAGCCCTTCCATTCTGCCATTAATTTATGTGGACTCTAATCTGAAAGTCATTTAAATCATTGCTTAATAAAGACCCAACTGTAAAAGAGGCGATTTATTTATTTAATTTGTAAATTGCTGAATACCATAAGAGAATAAAGGGGAAAGAATAAAATATGGTTTTTCTGTGAACTTAAGATCCTTAAGGACGGCCTTTTCATCCATATCAAAACACTCTTGATACTCATCGTTTATTGGTTCCGGGAGGTGGGATGAGCACCAAAAACAATGAGTACCAAACAATTTTTTTCTCATAAGGAATAATGTAGTGTGTCACAAGGCAGCCAACACTGTCAAGATCTAGCTTTTGTGTTGAGTTTTTGTTGAGTAGCAGGACAAAATTTTCATGTCAAAATGTGTTGAGTACCAAATCCAAAGCAGTTGAGCGCCAAGGTACCACTGTACTTGGTAATTTGGTGTTCAAGGTACAACATTGGTGTAGTTGTGTGATAAAATACAGTCAAGCACCTGTTATCTTCTTAGAGGGAAAGTCAGGCATAAATAATACGTGTACTGTATGTGAAAAGAAACAGGTCATCCAGTCACTCTTAATGGAGAACTCTTTGATGTGGCTGGACTGACTTTTGTTTTTCAAACTTCCCGCTGCAGATCGCGATCCCGAGAGCGGAGGCGACGACGTTCCCGCTCCCTTTCCCGTGAGAAGCGTAAATCCCGTTCCAAGTCTCGGGAACGTGAGAGGCACCGGCGCCACCGCAGCCGTTCCCGAAGTCACAGTCGGGGTCACCGACGTGGATCCAGAGACAGGAGCTCTAAGCATAAGTATGGCCAGCATTTCTCACTGCCACTTTGCGGGGATGGCTTGTTTTGCTTGGAGTTTAGCCAGAGGAAACACATTATAGCTGAAAGGAAACCAGCATACATTTAGAAATGAAGATGCTAGTTTCTAAGGCCCCCAGGGATTATGTTGGGTTTAAAAATGTGGTTGCCATGATGCAAAGAATCAGGGAAGGACGAGCTCTCGTTTTTCTCCTTCGTGAATAGAATAGAATAGAATAGAATAGAATAGAATAGAATAGAATAGAATA